TTGTCGTGTTTCTCCCTTTTTTTTAAGGCAAAATTTACTTCTCTGTTCGTGTTTTATTATGGTACTGATACGTGGAATCCTTTGTTATAATTGTACAGTGGGGCGTTGCAAGCTTTTGTGGAATCCTTTGTTTCATGTATTTGTCTTACTATATGTACCTTTCATTTATGGCGGAAAGAATTAGATACGATAATTTAAAATATTATATAATATAAGTATAGTACGAATATAAAAATAAAAATAATATAATTTAAAATTTTAATAAAAATTATAATTATATTTAATAAAATAAAAAAGTTATATTTTTATATTGATATAAATTATAAAATGTAATTTTTATATAAAATATAATATAAATATATAAATTTTAATATTTTATTCTATACAAATATACAAATAATCAGGGAGTGAATAGTGATTTCTTGATGTATAAGTTCTCACCCCATCACCTTTTGGTACGTAGTTATTAACATGGGCGAAGCTAGAAAAAAAAAAAAAAAAAAAAAAAGAATCAAATGACAAATTCAAAAGAAAAAAGGGATTAGGTATAATATTTGAAGGAATTAGTTACAAATTTTTAAAATTTTTGGAGGGTTGTGGCTTTTGCTTGTCCATTGGATTGCCGCTCTAATGTTTGTGTTATATTTTATACAAAATTATATATTATAATTCGTGCTTAAATAAAAATTAAAAATATAATTTTTAGTTTTATTAAATTTATATATAATTTTTGTTAAATTTTTAAATTATATTATTTTTATATTATTTTTTTGTATTATGTTTGTATGATATCATCATGTCATATTTTAATTTGTTAAATCTATAACTTTTAATTATTAATTATATTTTTTTACAAAAGATAAACAAAAAATTATAAATACTGAAATTTAAATTTTAAACATGATTGTTTTAATTAATTAAATTAAATTTGAATTCGATAAATAATAGTAATTGCAATCATATTTACATTTACATTTGTTTTCTTATTTTCATTATCAAATACTATTTGATTCTAATGGTTTTTTAGTGATAAAAAGCCAACTGGTGCCTTTTTCTGATTTTTTTTTTAGTAATTGTTAATAACTACCTGTTAATAATAGTGTCAAAATAAAAAAAAATCATAAGTGTTAAAATTTAAAATTTAAAATATTTAAATATTATTTTTAAAAAATAATTATATGAAATAACTTAGTTATGTTTCGATGCTACAAACTCAATTTTAAGTTGTTCTAATCTTTAAGACAAGATCAAATACGAAATACAAGCATTTGTTCTCAATAATGAAGACATGTAATTTTTTGCTGAAAAAGTTGAATTTGAATCCTCATTTTCTAAATTAAAACAAAAAAACTAGATCAAGTACGCGAGAGTTTACTCGTTTACCAGCTTTCTCAACTCCTGAGACCCACTTCGTCTTTTCCGGCTGGATTTGGCTGTCGCAGTTGTTCATACATAGAGATTAACATTTTTACAGCAGGAAAAGGGCGGTAATAGTAGTTTTGAGTAATGACCTGTGATTATCGACAAATCATATGGATAAAATAGGGCAATGCTGATCATGCATCGGAAATCCATTAGAAGGGGGGATGTTTAGGGTAGTTAATGAACGGCAGAGATTTGATAGGAATGTTGGGAGAGAGATCAGGCCGTGCGAAAGCTAAAAGACAATGCCTTGGACTGCATGCATTTATGGGTTTGTCCAAGGCTTGCGTTTCTAATTTAGAGAGAGAGAGAGAGAGCTGTTTCTGTTGAAGAGTCGAGAACCTACCTATGCCAATGAGCTTGGAAAAATCTTACAGCATAATGCGGTTGACAGGGGCCCAATCAAGCCGGGGTAGGGGGGAGACGGAGAGAGAGGTTGAAGTTATTATTGTCAGGCTATAAATATATAAATTATCATCACAGAAATTTTTTTTAATTTTCCAAACAAAATTAATAAAATAATATATATTTAAAAAATAATATATATTTTTTGTTTGATAAGAGTCAGAAGAGAGACCGGAGTCGAACCTAGTCTTGATTTTTTTTAAGATTTGTTTGGTCACTAAATCAATAAATTGAAGATAAAATGATATATTTATTTATTTATTAATCTGTTTGTTAAAAATTTATACTATAAATTATATAAAATTTATATTTAATATATTATTAATATATAAATTTTATATATTATTAATAAATAAATATTAACCCTTAATATAACTACATAAAAATTTTTTAAAATATACTCATTAATAAAATAATATCATTTTATTATTTCATTAATAAAATAATATTATCTAATTTACTAAAACATCAAACAGTTTTGAAAGTGCTAAAAAACCTGAAATGCTAATGAAAAAAGATTCGATAAACAGTTATGGAAACCTACTGTTAGAGCAGTAAACACAATCATAAAATGACAAGAGCTTGGTGGCTGCCCTGGCCGGGTTTTTGACGGTGTGAGTAAATATCTCGCTGTCCTCTCCAGAATCTGGCCCTGCTAAATGCAAGGTTGCAATGGAAAGCAATAACAAGTAAAAAAAACACAATAAAGACGTAGACAGGATCTTTTATGGAATGTCAAATGGTCTTTTCTTTCGTGGTTTTTCGATTTAAATATAGCCATGCATTCACATGAAACCAAACAGTCTTCGCTTTGTAAACACGAGAGGCATTCGGCCATTTTCGGCCATGGATACGGTGTCCTAAAAGCTAAGAACCCTATCTACTATCATTAAACGAGTAATGAATCGAATTCAAATTAATATAATATTAAATTTGAGTTTAAATTTTAATTTAAAATTTAACTTAAAAAGGATTGAATTTTATTTTTAAAATTTGAATTCAATTTAAAATAAAATAAAACTATTCAAAAACTTAATTAAACTTGAATGACACGTAAAAATAAATTTAATTTTTATATTTGATAAAAATTTAATTATTTGTATTTAAATTTAAATTTAAGATATTTATTAATTAAAATAATAAAAATATATTAAAAAATAAAAATTTGATTGATCTCACGAACTATTCGAATCATGTATAAAAATATTTAAATTTGATTCAATCAATAAATCAAATTATTTGAATTTAAATTTGATTCGATAATAATTTAATTTAATTAAAATTTTATTTAAATTAAATTTAAATAATTTATAAATATTAATATATCATTTGTATTTTTATCTAAATGCACGTGTATTATATTCGTAAAGAATCTAATGGTGACGAATTGTTGAGGTATGGAGGGAAATTCAAGAGGGCTCTTCTTTTTGTCGCTGCCCTTGATTAAGACACAGCAGATACCTATCTTTCCAATATCTTTTAACTAAATGGGTTTTCCAAAAGAATGTGTTTCATTTTGTGAGACTTTCTTATTACTGCTGCCACGATACTATACATTATTAATGCTCGAAAGAGACATAGAAATAAATACCAGAGATTCTGGTGACGTCATTTTTAATAAGGGATACCCCACTTGTAAGATATGTATATATAAGTATGTCTTTGTACGGATTGACCCCACTTTGCAATAAGAAAAAACAAAGAATTAAATCACATGCGTATTAACTATGCTGTCTCTAATTCAGGTACCATACAAATTGTACGAGCATAACCAGTCAAAGTCAACAAAAGTGAACAATATATTCATTGTCACTTCAATTCAACCGTGCATAAGTGTTTTTTTTTTTTTTTTTAAGTCAAGATTTTATTAAGCAATCAAGATATAATAAAATTAGTGGAAAATTATTAGAAAAAGCAAAAACAGAACTCCCTTGTGTAAGTTGCTAGTTAGTAGTTTTTTTTTTTTTTCCTTTTATATAATATATATTAAAAAATTCAAAGAAAAATAGAATTCGAATTTTTTAATTTATTCCTTTTGTATATAATAATGGACATGTAATTAGGAGAGGTGCTCTTTTACTTGTCAACCATGATTCGATTTTTATGAAAAGCACTCTTGAAGTAAAATTTTGAATGTATAAACTAATATAAAAGAGTGCGACGCCTTTAAAATTACTTGAGAAGAGAACTAAACTTAAATAAGACTTAAAAATATGATATTATAAAAAAAAAAAAAGAAAAGAAAGAGAAAACAATCATTGTTAAAGAACAAATTAATGAATTGTAAAAAAAAAAAACCATGTATTAAGCTAGTTAAACTTTGATTATTACCACTTATGATAATTTTTTACTAAACCTGCCCATGGCCGGCTTGTCCTTAAAATCCGATTTATTGAATAAGGATTTTCAAAATTGAGTTTGACTTGATTTATGAATATATTTTATTATGAAATAATTAGATTCTACTTAATTTTACTAACAAAAATATATGTAAAAATATTAAAATATTAATTTTTTAATATTTTAATAATAAATTTAAGTTAAACGAAGAAATGAGTTTTAATGGACGGACCAAGCTTTAGACAAGCATTTGAAGATGTTAATTACGCTCAACCTAGTTCAACCCATGAACACTTCTAGTTTCTACTATCAAACAACTCAAATATGATTTAATTAGTTATCTTTTATTTAAGAGGATTAAGGTTTAAAATTTCCAATTATAGCTAGGTGCAATGTGCAGAAATCAATTGTAAAAAAGCTCACTTTCTTCTCTATATAACTTAATTATTCTTCGTTTGAGTGTAACATATGCTACGATCTTATTGTACGTACGAGTGTATGAGATTAACGCTATGGTACAATAGTAATAATTTAAAAACGAAAGGATGTAAAGATTTTTACCCAAAAAAAAGAAGGGTAGAAATATAACATTAATATTTATAAGATGGGAGAAATAGTGCTACTTGGTGTGAATAAAGGTGTCTAGTGCAATCATGGTGGCTGAGCAGCTAATGCTCATGGATGCAAAAGCCAGTTGCTTTTCTGTATCTAAATTTACTTGGTGTTGTCTCCGACCAAATCATTAAAATTTTTGCAACGCTTAGGTGTGCCTACTTCATCCCCTGTTGAGCTAAAGTAAATGATAATAAGGTGATATTGACATAATCATTCAAGTTTCCCCTCAGTCATTCAGTCACTTTACCTTGGTTTCCATCTTTCTCTCAGCTGTGCATTATACTGAAAACCAACCCTTTCAGGGAAACATCAGCATGATAACATGCTCTTGTACTTTTTCCACACTATTAACCCCTCTCTCTCCATCCTTTTTGTCTCTCTTTACTTCTCTAACATTGCGTTTCCAAATAATATTGTAGCTCTCACTTCCTTCGTCCATCTATTTATACCTGTTGTTTGAAACTCTTTTTCTCATCCCAAACACCAAAACCGAATACCCAAGTTTCAGTTCTGATCAAAAACGAAAAAAAAAAAAGACTTGAGAGAGTAATTAAGAGCTGTTGGTTTTGTTTTCTGATGTCTCCAGCAGGCTCCTCTAGGTGGTGTCCAACGCCAGAACAGCTTATGATTTTAGAAGAGACGTTTAGAAGTGGGATTAGAACCCCAAATGCCTCTCAAATCCAACGAATCACTTCTCACCTCTCTTTCTATGGCAGGATTGAAGGCAAGAATGTTTTTTATTGGTTTCAAAACCATAAGGCAAGAGAAAGACAGAAGCTCAGAAGGAAACTTACCAAGCAACCACAACTACAACAGCAACGTTATCATCAGCATCAGCTTCAACAAAACCATCCTAACCACCATTTTCTTCACTATTTTGATTCTTCTAGTCCCCCTTCTTTTCAACATCTTTCATGCTATAACTCAGCCAGCCTTGTTCCTCAGGTAAAAAAAAAAAAAAACAACTGTATAATATATTATTTATTCTACCATATTTCGTTTTCTTTTTTTTTTTCCCCTTACAACGGTAAAAAATAACAATCGGTCCTTTCATTTTATACGAAAGATTAATATAACTCGTAATTCCAGTAATTAAAATTCAAATTCTACACCTCAAATACAAAAAAATAATATAACAAATTTATTTTATTTATTTCTATATATAAGAAAAAACAAACATAGAATGAGAACTGAAATTTATGCAGGGTTTTCTTACAAGCTTTGTAACGGTTTTATGCAGGAAGAAAAAAATAATAACTGATGACAGAACATAAAATTTAAAAGATAATTAGAATTAGGTTTCCTCTGACAGACGGGAAACCTAATTTTATGTATAAAAAAAATAGATCAAAAGTTCAAATATCATCCACACTATTGTGCATGCGTGTGCTTCTTTTGTTCTTTTAATTCAATGATACTAAAATCCAAACATTTTCTTTAAACGAAGTAAACAAACGTATATTAAAAAAAATGAACTCTTATCCTTTGTTTCTTGACCCTCTTCTCCATCCACTGCTTAATCTTTAGTGTGCTTTTATCATTTAATTATTATATCTTTGCCTTTCCTCTACTAACCATTTTTTTGGGTAATTATTTTGGTAGCAGGTGGGGATATTTCATGAGGATGCTGCAGCAAAACAAACGATGAACTACGCATGGAAGTTTGACATTCCAGAAAAAGGGGACATGGAAAAGGCAATGATGAGAACGTACGGCAGTGATTGGTTGATGATGGTTGATATGGGTCCCCGTTTACCACCATGCTTCTCCACCAGGGCACCCCTTAAAACCCTTGAACTTTTCCCTGTCACGGCCACAAATCTCAAGGAAGAGTGCAACAACAACAACAACAACTCTTCCAAGCCTCTTGCTTGTATCAGTAATAACCCCACACCTGCTAAAGTACCCCTAACCCTCCCTTAACCCCACAAAAAAACCCCAAAACTCTCTCTCTTTTATCTCGTTTCCCTCTGTCTGCTGCCTAGGTTGTAAGCTGTAACTAGGTTCTAGCATTTTTTTTTTATTCTGAAATCTGGGTGTAATTTTGTTTGTTTTGTTTTCTTGGGTTTCTGCAATGTATGTGTGGTAACTTTTAGGCTCTAACTTGTCCGGGGAGTAATGCTACTGCTCCTTATCTTACTACTTCAATTGCTTTTTTAACCTATTAATCTGCACTGTGTATTGTCCCTTTTCCAAACCCAAATCATGATCAGAATTCTAGAATATGGCTTGAAAAAGGTGTTGTTTTTCACACTGTTTTTCAAAATTTTCAGCTTGTCTTTTGTGTATCATAAAGCTGGCATATATGTAAGCGAAACACCAGTACTTGACAGACATCTAGTCACATAGAAATCGGCTTTTTTTTTTAATTGGTCTTGGATCTTTCAGACAAGTCAATGCAACATTCATAGTGAAAAAAAAATAATAAAAAGATTTAGTTTTACATGAAGCATCAAACCTCTCCTACATTTGGTGAGCTGCCAATACAGAAAATTTAAAATTTTTTTCCCTTCATTCTTTAAATACAGTACGCCATTTATAGTACTCAATAGTCAATGAATTACGTTTGCAAACAGACTTAAACTCTTGAACATACTCACTGATTTTATTGTAGTTTCAAAAATCATTCACAATATTGGTAGTGAGTTTTTTTTTTAGCTACTAATATTTAATGTAATAGTATATTATGTTATATACTGTTAATGTGTCACAGTCGAAGTTTTAAACTTTTAATAAATAATCATTTTGATAAGATGGTAAGAAGTTGTTCATTGACAATGTAAAAGAAAAATTATACATTGCATCAAATATAGTCTTTTTTTTTTTTCATGCTTCTTTTAGGCGAAGTGTTTCATTTGTGTAGAAAAAATATGTATTTGAAAATTAATTAATTTATTATATATGTTTCATTAATTATAAGCAAAATTTCATTTAAAGTTTTAAGTAATATGAATGAATTGAAATTTGAACGTCAAGCTAAATCATCTAAACATTACACTTAGATATATATATATGTATATGTATATATATATATATATATAGTTGACGAATAAGCTTTCAATGTCGTTGGATTTGAATTTAAAAATTAATTCAATTAGTTTATATAATAAAATTTAAAAAATAACATTCAATAGATATAATATTCAAATAATGACATTTATAATCCAGCATTCTTTATATAACAAATATAATTGAATTTGAAAACAAATAATTTACCATTTTTACTAATTTTACAACGAATATGGCATCAAAAATTTTACTTTAAATTCAAGTCAAGCTCTCAATCTCAAACCTCTTCTCTCCTTTCTCAAAAAAAAAAAAAAAAAGACTGATTATACCAAAATTAGGGGACCAAACAATGTAAATTATTTCTGATTGTGACCATTACGTGAAACACATGCACATTATTTAATGAAATATTTTCTCCAACACAATAATAACAAAAGCATGCATAACAATTAATGGAATATTTCCACTTTCGGGACAAAAGATATAACTCAGCCGATTTATAATTTAGTTTCTTTATAAGAAGCAAGCAAGCAACATTCAAAATAAAAGCATACAATAATAATTATATCAGTTAACTGTGAACCAAAATTTGAAAAACCATTGCCCAACATTGCATTAAAATCATAGGCTCAAATAGATTGCAACCGTCTAGGCTAATTTTTCGTACAAATGTCTTGGGGAAGGAAACCAACAAAAATAAGGTGAAGAAGCTTAGCCAATGGCACATACAATCTTCTGAAAATGGTTATAAATGACAATGACACGATCTTGAATTTGTTTCGCAGACAGAGGTTTCCACGGGCCAGAATTGGACTGGTTCTGGTGGGCCTGAATCGAATAGCTTGATCAATTAATTTCTCTCCGGATATGGTCTTTCTCTATGAACCATTTTCTTTTACTCTGTCTTTTGCTGTCAGTCGATCGAATCTTCAGAAACCTGTCCCACGAATCCTATTACCGGGCCGGTATTTGTCATAATGTCTAGGTCTGGAGATCCATCGTTAGACATTGACTTAAGAAGTCACCACCAATCTTTTTTATTTGAATGCGATTGGTCACCTAAAAAATCTGTTCTTTCAAGGTCCCTAAAAGAATAGGTTCAGCTCTACTAACCAGAACAGGGTTCGAGAGTTCAGTTACGTGTAAGGAAGGTTATAGCACCCTCATAACGCCCATCAAAAGTTGATACTAGCTTAAATTTATGTTATCCAATGAGCCTTAAAATTTTACCAAGTAATTAATTATTGAAAATTATTCTCAATTGACTCTAATACTTTTAGCAGAAAATTAAAAAAATTCCCTCACCTCAGGAGTATGTAACAAAACTACTGTTTCACTTGCAGAGGCTCCATCGTCGGATTATTTAACATAAAAAAAATTTAAAAGAAATAAAAAAAGAAAAAAATGATTTCTTTTGTACAAGGAAAAATTGATACTTTCAACTTTTCCTCAAAATATTTTTTTGAAAACTTTAATCTTGAGAAAAATTGATACTTTCAACTTTTCCTAAAAAAAAAAACCCTTTTTGTTTTGAAATTTTATCTTTAAGGAAAATTGATACTTTCAACTTTACTCTAAAAATATTTTTTGAAAATTTTAATTTCAAAAAAAATTGATACTTTCAATTTTTTCTCAAAAAAAACTTTTTTTGAAAATTTATTCTTAAAGAAAATTAATACTTTCAATTTTTTCTTAAAAATATATTTTTTTTGAAAATTTAATTTTGAGAAAAATTGATATTTTCAACTTTTTCTCAAAAAATTTTTTTTTGAAAATTTATTCTTAAGGAAAATTGATACTTTCAACTTTTCTTTAAAATGAAATAAATAAAATAAATAAAAATAAAAATCAATAAAAAAATAAAAAAAATAAATTAACAACCCTAATATAATAATAATAATAAATAAATAAATAAAAATAATAATAAAAAACGAAAAAAAAAAACCTGGAGCGGCTCGGCTCGGCTCGATTTGAGGAAGAAAAATGGCTCGGAGAAGCGTCTCAGGGGTGTCAGCTCGGCTCGACTAACGGTTCGGAGAAGCAAGACACGCGCGGGTCGAAAGCGGGTTGACGCTCGGGTTGGGTCGGGTCTCGGTAAAACACGCGGATCCTCTGGGTTACTTAACGCAAAAATGGCATCGTTTTGAGAGGGTATATAAGGATGATTCTTTCATTTTTTCAGCAGATCGAGCCTCCTCCCTCTCTCTCTTCCTTTCTTTTCTCCTCCTTCTCTCTAAACTTTCTGAAGAACTCTAGTTTAATATTCACCGGATTCTAAAAAATTCATCGAAATCTAGATTTTTCATCAAAAATTCATCAAAAAGTTGGTCGATTTCTTGGAATCTTCACCGAAAATAGGGCAGCTGGTCGAAAACTTCAATCTTGACCGAAATTATCACTAAAAAATTCAACTTTCCCTGAAAAATTCAACCGAAATCTGAAAATTTTTCAAAAATTTCCAGAAAAAATTCACAAAAAAATCTTAATAAATTTTTCAACGATTCATAAAGCTATTCTAACGCCTCTAAACCCTTTTCCAACTTTTGAATCTCTTCTGTCTGCCATTTTCTCTCAACCAGTACTCTTTTCCTTCTGTTTTTCTGTGTGTTTCCTTTGATTCTGAAGGTTTTTTTTTATAGGGATTGATCAGAAGAGTTTTTGATCAATCCCAACTCCTCTTTGGATCGAGATTCAATCATTGAATCCAACATGGACTCTTCTGATTGAATCTCAATCCAATCTTCAGTCGAATAAATCAAAAAAATAAAAAAAATCAAATAAAAATATTAATGAAAATAAATCAGATAAATAAAAAAATTAACAAATAAATTAAAATTAAATAACAGATAAATTATAACATATAATCTGATAAATATACATATAAATATTAACAAAAAAAATAATAAAGAGATATATATATTAATAAATACATAAGATAAAAATAAAAGAAAAAAAAATAAAAAAACAATAATAATAATAAAATAAAAATAAAATAAAAATGTAAAATACAAAAAAAAAAGAAAATAGACTTACCTATTTGGACCAGGCCCAATTGATCTGGGCCTGGACCAAATTGGGTGTCTACAGCTGCCCCTCTTTACACATTTTTTATGAAACAGAAATTGCGCAAAGATGTAGACACCCAATCAAGTCTCAACTAGACTTTTTTTTTTTAAGGTTTATCAAAACTCCTCTAAGCAGAGGCTCAACGACTTTGAAAAAAATAAATGGCTCCTCTAAACAGAGGCACTATGACTTTGAAAAGTAAATTGCTTCTCTAAACAGAGGCACCACGACTTTTGAAAAGTAAATTGCTCCTCTAAACAGAGGCACCATGACTTTTGAAAAGTAAATTGCTCCTTGACAATCATGTCCAAAAGAGTTAAAAATTGTGTTTGAAGGAATTTCAGGAGATTATGCTCAAAGGCCTTATAAATCAACCCCGATACTAAGAGACATCCTATTTCAAGGATTAGGAACTTACCTGACAAGCTTTTTTTTTTTCAATTTTGAAAATGTCTTCACATCTATCTCCTCTATGTGGGATTTTGAAATACCCCTGTTTCTTGAATTTATGTAGTATACCTTCTTGAAAGTAGTATATGTTATGCAATGCATATGAATTTCAATGCATGCTATGCATATTTTGGCCAATTAATTCCTATTCAATGTATGGTACTCAAGTTTTTCAAGCTCTTTTCCTGGGCATCAAATCTTTTGATTATTAAAAAATCAGATTACACTGTTCTTTTGAGATCGAACCAGTGTAGCTCTAAATCTTTCACTCGTATTCTTCCTGTAAGAAATCTCTTTCCAAATTCAATGTCCTCATCAAGAACTGAACATCTCTATTCTGCCTTTATCACTTTTGACTTATTCAATGTAATTTAAAAATCTTTCATGCTGTTATTCAT